ATTAAAATTATTCTAATTTAAATCTATAACATTATTTACTTAAAGTTTTCAAACGTTTGAAAAAGTTCAATTAATCTTATTGAATAATTATTATTTGACAATACAAAATTCTCTCAATTGAGAATTTTGGAAAATCAAATATTCACATTAAACGTGAATACGATGTTTCGAAGAAGAAATAGTTTGAATGAACGATATTTGAGAGAATTGAGAAATTAAAACATTTGATTTTATCAAAACTGGTAATTAAAAATAATTCTCTTTTTAATGAGAAAGACTTTATTCAAAATTTACTAAAAATAATTATTCTCAATTAACTCAAATGTCAAGTGAATTTTAACTTAACATATTTCGCTACAATTATTTAAAGAGACGAAAAGAATTAATTTAAAATTGAAAAGAAAATGTTTATAAAAATGCATTCCTAACGACCGAACGAACACGTGTTCTTTGGCCGCTGAAACTTCCTGTTTATCTTTCTTATCANGAGTGTTCTTTGGCCGTTGAAACTTCCCGTTTATCTTTCTTATCATGAGAAAAACCTCATGTCGATAATAGCTAAGGATTTGGAAGTTTGAACTAAACCCTCTAAACTTTGACCGGCGACGTGCAGACGGCTGTATGTCGTAAAACTATGAGAAAATATCGCTAAGGATAAATACTCGAAAAGAATTAGTCGGCGTATATTTTTTGAAACTGAAATTATTCTATTTATTTTTCCCAGGATGTGAACTGAAAATTGTGTACTGAAGATAATTAGTTTTGTGCAGCTGCACTTTTGGACTATGAGAAAAATATACAAGTCCGAGAGAAAAATTATTTGTTGAAGATAGGAGAAACATCTGGTGATTGCCAGATGATATTTAATTCATTTAAAAATAAAACTAATTATTATTATTTTTCATCGGACGTCACAGTAGCATAAAAATGAGATTTAATTTGTCACGAGTCAAAATTCAGTTAAAAATAATCAAATTTTCAAGTTTCTAGATATAATCCTCACTTACTATGTTCACATGGTAATTTTTACTTTCATAGTTGCTCCGTGTACAACGGGAAAATGCATCTGTTGTCCTACATTTTTACTCGTTTTCAGAATAAAAAAAAACTGGTCGAAAATGCACTATGCTAGACATTTTTGAACATCTCAAGATTTTTGTTTATTTTGTACGGCCTCCGAGTTCCTTTTTGGGTCCCACTCTGCACTCTATCCAAGAAACCACAGAAAACCCAGGAAATCACAGGAAACCCGTGCCGGTACAGGTGGTTACTCTATTAGCGACCCCCCACTTGCCGGAGCCTCAGCTTGGAAAATTCGGTTGCACTTGGGATCGAACTCGCAACCTCAAGATTTTTATATGAGACTGAATCTAGCCGCCACCCGCCTGAGTGGAAATTCAAATTAGAATAGAATAAGAGATTGACCAGTGAAAACTGATTTTGATCAATTTTGGATCAGAAATGTAACGCTTGTTTGGGTCCATGCCTGGTCAGAATTCTAGGATTCGATCTTCCTGAACAGTACCGGATCCGATACGGATCAAGACGAGATTTGACTGATCAGAATAGGATCACAATTCACTCCGCCACAATCAATACAGATACTCCATTCAGAATCTCATCAGATCCTGATCCGAAAGTCTAATCAATAAATTCTGACCAGTATTGAACCTAAAACTAATGTAGATCCAAGCTAACTGAGTGAAATTTCCACTCGGGCGTTCCAACCGCAAATGTATACTTTTTGATGGGGAGTGTAGGATATGGTTCAACCGTATCTAGAAGATATTGAAATAGAAACACTGAACAAAAATTAATTAATCATGAGATTGGACATTTTCAATTCGAAAATGTGCCTTAGGGCCTCCTGGATTTTTTATCTCTCTATATTATAAAAATCCAAGTCAACATCTGGTGATAAAAATTTGGTACTTGAAATTAAGGCTCCAAAATTAAGGGTCACAAAGGTCATTGAAAATTCTCAGATCGAGGGTCACAAGGGTTACAAGTGGAGTAAGCAGGGGGCGTAGCCCCCTAGTTAAGATTAATGATAAAACAAAGTAGCAGAATGTGCATTGATATTTTACGGCTATACTTTACACGGTTTCAGCCCTCGGGCTTCTACACACATAAAACTTAATGGGTATGGGTGTACTATAACCATATAAGTTTGCACTAAACACGACATAAGGAAAAGCAAGTGAAAAACCCCATTTCGTTTCCATCCGATTTCCCCTCGAATGCGAGAAAATCTTACTTTTCTGATATTGCAAGGCATAATCCATCACACTGAGAAAAGAATACAGGGTACGTGCAAAATATTGTCGAGGTCTTTCATGTGACAACCACTATAATCATTGTATATGGTAGAGAAAAAAATGTTGAGCTCCAGAAAAACTTGATTGTTGAGGACATTATTTTCCGAAAAAAAGGAATCATATTTTTTTCTCAGCGCATAAAAGATTTGATTGTACCCAACGGAACCGGAATTTCTCTATAGCTTTCACATGCCACCCGCGAATTTTGGCTTAGCTCCCTTCTCTCACAGAAAACCAATCGCTGAACAACAAAAACGATATTTTAATAACAAATTTTCCATTTATTTCGACCATTTTTTTAATAACTTTTATATTTTTTTCCCACATATTTCAAACCTTCTTTTATTTTTCTAGCTTGTCTTTTGGATAATTGGAAAATAATTAATATGGATAGGAAAAGTAACAACGTCGTGCCGTTTGAGGTACAAGTTGGCAACACCGATTCACTCAGCTGTTGTATTGCTTCTCATAGCGAAATGTATCATCATAACTCCATCCGTATTTGCCGCGCTTGCCCCTCCACGATTTCTAACCTCGACGTTGTCGCTTTTCCAAGTTGCGCACGCAAAATTCCTATTTTTCATGAGTTTTCTAATTATTCCTTCTAAACAATTCTCCTAGGATACTTGGATTATTATTTTTTATATTCCTCCACGAAAGCTCCACCCAAGTCCGAAATTTCAAGAAAATGGCGACTTATTTTCTATTTTTAATATTTTTTTTCCGGAATTCCCATAAGACACCGTGCTAAAATGCATTTATTAGAAAAATTCCTGTGTTTCACTCATTCTCCTAGGCTATCTGGGATTTTGCATACATTGTTGAAAATTTTTATCTGAAATTTCCGATACATTTTTTGGAAATTTTTATCGAATTTAATTACCATTGAAATTTCAAGGACTTTCGTCATTGAAAATTCAGAATTTCGTGGAAAAATCAAAGAGAACTGTAAATTTCAGTTCCATTTTTGCCTGAAAATGAATAGAAAACCAGAAAATTCCGGTAAATATATTCTTGAATTTTCAGGACAGTGACACTGAAAAATCATGAAATTTCAGATTTCACTGAAAATTCAATGTAATTTGGCACTGAATAGTAATATTAGATTGGAAATTCACATCAATTAAGGAATTTTCGTCTTTATGCTGCTTAAAATTCTGGAATTGTACTGAATTTTCAGTGAAATCTGAAATTTCATGATTTTTTTCCCCTAAATTGCATTCAGTGTTACTGTCTTGAAAATTAGTAGTCAATTGCCCATGAAATTTCAGTTTTTTTCCAACCGTGTAGGGTTTTTGAAAAAATTAAACAATGTATTTTAAAAAATCATTAATTTGTTGACTTTTTTTACCTCCCCTAACTCCGCCATAAATACCTTAAATTTTTTCCAATGACTGAAATAATTCAGATTTGGAAATGCTCTCGCGCGTCTCCTGTCTTCAGTAACTACAAGTGATCCCCATGCAAAGTGATAAATTTTTCATGGAGTTCCGTCTGTTATAAAGCCTTCCAACTTTATTACGAAATTCTCAAATCCCCCGGGGGTTATTGAGCCATCGTTCAACATGTATCCAGTTAAACTCTGTATATATCTTCAGGAAGTCGGCAAGTCACCTCGGGAATACGCTCGATGGAGAAGTGGGGGGAGGGGGAATACGTTGTTACACGTAAGAGGATATCTCGCAGCGACACAAGAAAATTGACGAGCGCGAGAGCGAAGTGCGAATCGCATTTGCCGGGCTGTCGGATTTCAGCCGTAGGATACGAACGGATACGGAAGTCTGGGGGGATGGCGATGAAAGCGAGAGGAGGCTCATAGAAAAAGCTGAGGTGATGCACTTGTCGGCAATTTGAGGCTCTCCAAAGGCGTGATAGAATTTTTTTTGGTGCGGAGAAGGAAATTGGAGAGACTCAAAAAACTTATGAGCAGTGGGAGTAAATTTCATTGGCGATTTGAAATGCAATTTTAGGCTTTCAGAATTTTTGGAATCATAACAAATTTATGTATATACAGAATTTCACCAGAAATGTATTTCACCCCAAAAAAAATAAGGTTTCCGAAAGTTTAAACAAATTCAATCATTTGTTTATAAACAAGGAATCTTTAAAAAAAAATGACGCTGAATATTCATGATTTTTTCAAAAAAATTTCACGCAATTTAATTGACAAATTTGATGATTGAAAGTGGTGAAATTTATTATAGTGTCGGATATCCCTAAAGTCTTGATCAAATTTCGCAGTATACTCAAAACCGAGTCAGTGCGTTGTAAGGTAGTAATAAAATAAGTATAAAATTAAAGTCCACGGAATTAACTTTGATATAATAGCCCCATCTATTACGTAGTTAACTTTCCCTAAAAGTTCTCTTGTTGATGGAAGGTTAAGCTCATGACTTGGATTTTCCCTCCATTGTCTGTTATTTTGTACGACCCCTTTGAAGAGAATCACCACATAACAATGAAAAGACCTGCAACCGTGACGATTATGCGTTGTTCTATCTGGTTTACAAAATAAAAGATTCCATCTGATCATGAGAATCTTTCCACCTTTTATCGTTGAACCTCTTCAGTTTTTCCACAGCTTTTGTGTGACACAATCGATATCTCTCCACAATAGACCTTTATTCACAATTTGTCAACAGACTGACATTTCTAAGAGTTCATTATATTCCTTTGTTACAGGGCTTGGACAATGTGAGCTCAGCAACCCTGCGGCCCTTCAACTCTGACATAAACACACCCAGGATCGACAGCTATCGATTCTCAATGGCGAATCTAGAAGGTAAGTTTCCATCCACATGATTTATATAATGCAAACTGAATGGGCACAAAGAAAACAGTTTCGAGTTTCCAGTAAAAATATCTGAATTTCAAAATTCTGCCGCAGAGAGAAAGAATTATAATTTTCATTTTGTGAAAATTGTTTTTGTCATTAGGCCCGATAAACTGGGATTCTAACCTCATTTCGCTCGGTCAGTGCACAGTTTTCAGGCCCAATGAGAGAAAATATTGTATGTCATACGGCGATAAAAGTATTACCTGACAAATGTGATTATAAGGTCACATTCGTTAGATAATATTTTTATCGCCTAATGATATAATATAATATTTAATCACTGAATCCCGCTAACTGTTACCTATCATTCTGTTTTGCGGCCAATAGATGGCGATTAGCAGCCATGAACTTGATAAAGACAAACAGCGGACTTTAGGTTGCGTTTTGACGCTCCTAGGCGCTTCGCCCCCCCCCCCCCCCCCCGGGCCCCCCCCCCNCCCCTGGACCCCGCTTCTGGGCCCCCTTCCACCTTCCTTTAGCAGAACTTCGTGATAAGAAATAGATGATGTCATTCGGCTTATCGGCCTTATGACATAATCTACTGTTTTCTCTAAAAATCGGACAAAAAAGTTTTCATTCTCAATAAGTTTTACTTAAATCTACACAAAGAAAAAAATCACACGAAAAATTGCTGTGCAATCTCTAGGTAATCGGAGAGCGAAATTGTATTCCACAATTTTTATTTGAAACCAAGGAAAAAAGATGAGACGAAGGATAAATTTTTCCCTTCAAAACGTAATTTTTCACAAATGAGCAGTAAGATCTGCCAGGGTGTTAGTGAAAAAGTACAAGGAAGACGAATAAATTTTACCACATCTTCAGCGAATTTTTACGGCACACCGTTTATTAATTTTTACTGGATTTCTATTGTAATTTTTCATTGCTTTTTTTCTCCATGTTGTATGATTGAGGCACATTTTCTCTCACTTTGAAGAAATCTTAATTTTGAAATTCGAAACTTATGGGTTCTTAAATTGAGAACCTTCTCGTTCTTGAATTGATGACTTCTCTAGTTTTTAAATTAATCTACTTATTATGAATCCTTTGTTATCGAAAGTATATTACCTAGGATCTGGACTCTGTTAAGGATGTTGATCCAAAATCGCAAGTATTAAAAAAAAATTGATTTTTTTTCAACTGAGAGATGCAATTATTCTCTTTATCTGGATAAAAATTTCAATCCACCAACCCACGTTTATTATTTAGAAATGGACTGAACAGAATGCACCAAACGCATGCGCTAACATGTGCTTATATGGGATAGACCCTTTCAAAGATTTCCTCTTTTTACGCGGATACCCCAAATTTTTCTCTGGCCATTCGATTCAGTATAGTTTTACACATTACCTTCTATTTTATTTTTATTTTTAGAGTCTTCTAGTAGAAGAATTATAAATTTCAACATAAATCCCATAAGGGCCCGTGTATAAAGAAAAATTTGTTTATTTATTTCTGGCGAGACTATTGCCATTATTTTTTTTTTAAATCAAAAGAAGTTAGTTTCATATGTTCTGCTATCAGCCTAAAAAATATAGAATTTTCCTTGAACACGAAAAAATGAGATTTCCTGAAAATGGCTAAACATCCTTAATGTTGATTTAATGTTAAATTATTCCTGAATTTCGTCCCTTCTGAATATTTCCGCATTAAAACCGCCAAGTTTCTGACTTAAGAAACTCAACGATTCCTGATTTAAGAACTTTTCTCACTTTAAATCAATAGACATTTGATATTGAATTTTTGGGACTTCTGTTCTGAAATTAAGTAACCAGATTTTTTATTCTCAATGCAATGCCTTCTGAAACCGTAAATTCCTTGAAACCAGTAAATTCGTTCTGGAAACTAGAAACTATTCTTCTCTGTGCACATGATCGACATAATGCGAACTAAATGAAGGGAATAGAGAGAGAGAGATAAAAAAATCCAGCGTCCCTTATTCCTTTATTGAGGTCAAATGGTTGTCCTTCACCCTCTTAACAATAAACCGGGTCTCTCCGAGCGTCGATGACACGAAAAAACCATTCCCCCTTTTGGCTAATGCATACTGACGAGGCGATCTCCCCTCTTCTCGGATAGACACCCTTCATTTTTGTCTGCTCGTAGCAATTGAACTGGAAGGCGCCACCAACTTTGACCGGTTTCCGGCGATCACTCAATGCGTTTTTTACGCTGCTGTACCCTATTTTTGCTGTCCTCGTACTGGCATTTAGCTGATTCGTAGATATTTTATGGAAGAATCGATCGTCCAATTCGTATCTGACAAATGTGCTCCAGTTAATTTCTTAGAGCCATTTCAGAGATAAGTCCGGAAACTTTTTATGGAGAGAATTTCGGAAAAATTTCCAACACTCAAAATCTTTTCTCGCAAGCATCAGAAAATTTGCTGTTCTGATAATAACAACTTTTATCTCTGGACGGCAAACATTATTCAACAGGTGCGCAATTTTTCCTCAACTGAAAGTATTAAAAATTATTCATTAGAGATTATTAAGGGTAAATATTAATTCCTGCATATTTGGTATTGAAAAACCATATTCACATCATGACGTAGTTTCTCGAAAGTTGTGTCACCTGATTCCACGTCATTTAATCCTCGAAAATTAATCCTGAACAAATTAGTCCTAGTCAAAAAATCCTTTAAAAGTGATCCTAGTCAATTTGATCTTGGTCAAAAAATCCTGAAAACAGTGATCCTAAGCAATTTAATCCTGAAAAAAAATCCTATACAAATAATCCCAGTGCAAAAAAATTAGTAACAAAATTTTACGCAAAAAAATCGAAAAATATGGGGAAAACAATGTGACGTAAAATACTCAACAAATTACAATCATTTATTTATGAAACGTAAACATGCAGACATGGCGCTGATATCGAACCCTGAAAAATATTGCAAGCCCTCAAATCTCAAAACAAACATGCACTCATGAAATATTAAAATAATTGTACAAATCGTATCGTCAAACTTAATTAACAACAAAACAAATATGAAAAACCAATTACGTCATAAAAAAAAGTTGTGTTCAGACAACTTAAATTGTTGAAAGCAACACGTGCACAATTCAGTAATTAATATTATAAGCGATTCCCATGAGATACTTTAAGATATTATTTCTGTCATGACTTTTAACAACATTCAGTAGTTTAACATCAAATTTTCTATACAGCGTCACACAAATATGTTCGGTATTTACACACAAATTAGACATGAATTAATTTCCTGGAAAAATTAAAATGAGAGGAAAAAGAACAATCGTCAGTTACAAAAAACAATTGCTACTAGTTCTAGAATACAATTTCTCTCAATTGAAAGCGGAAATTCAAAATATTTAACACCGAGTTATCATTATTTTTTTAAATTGATAGCAATATAATCATTAAAAAAATCTCAGGATCAAATCATCCTGGATTATTTTGATCAGGATTATACTGTATCAGGATTAATTTAAGTAGGATGATTTTGCAGGATTAAATTGTCGCGGATCATTTTCACCAGGATTATATGACGTGATAACATATCACACACATATCGAACGGAATATTGCTAATATATCTTGAATATATCGGAAATATCCCTATAAAGCCTGTCACACCCTTGACTAAGCCTATCCATCTAGTTCGTCTATTCTGACGTCCTATAGGTGCGCGGGAGCGCGCCGTCAGACTAGTCATGTATGAAAGTCACAATGAAAATGTTTTGATATTCAGAAACATGTCAGTGATTTTTAGGAATTTATCCCCAATTATTTTTTCACCAATTTTGAGTGACGTTATCATTAATTTCTAGTGATATCGTCACTAATTTTCAGAGTAATATCATTAATTGTCAGGCACCCACACGTATGAAAAAATCGTATAGAAAGTTTCTATACGATTTGCGAATAGAATTTCTATAGGTTTTTCGTATATGATATTCGGATATTTCTATACAAAAATTCCCTATACGGATTATTTCTATACAAATTCGTGTAGAAATTCGTATAGAAATGAACCGTATAGGAAATTTTCGTATAGAAATATCCGAATATCATATACGAAAAACCTATAGAAATGCTATACACAGTCCGTATAGAAAGATTCTATACGATTTTTTCCTACGTGCACCTTTAATGCTTAAGAAATCTATCACCAAATTACAGTGATAAAAATCACTTATGATCAGGGGCATTCCAGTCAGTGTCAAGTATCACTAATAATTGGTGATAGATTTATGAAAATCAATGACATGTCCCTGAAAATAAAAATTTATTTGTCTGTAGAGAGTGGGACAAAATAGAGCCTCCTTAATGTAAAGAGTTTTCATTGTTCTAAGTGATAAAAAAATACTAACTCTTGTCAGGAATAAGAATTTATTTAATTATTTATATATATAAATTATTTATATAAGAATTTATTTATTTATTTATCTAATTGTCAGAAATAAGAATAAGACCTATTCACTGCATTTCATACCAATATGAGTTGAATGGTGTGTTTCATTCAAATACACGTGAACGACTGACTCTCGCTACATTGCTTGCTCTAATATTATTCGCATCGTAACCGACCGACAAACTTGCGGAAACAAAACGTAAACAGTAGCTTCCGAAATTTGAATTCAAAATACCTCACATTAAGGGGTAACGGAAGGCCAGCATTTCTTTGAAATTTTCAAACAAATTACCTGCTCAAAGGTATTAGTATTAGTATTTTTTGAACCCAAAGCACATTGACCTTCGTCATCGCCTCCTGGAGATTAATGTCCTTTGATTTGTAAAAATATCGATAACATTGGGCAGGAAATTTGTTGAAAAATTTGTAAAATTGACCGCATTCTGTTACCCCTTAAGGCGTTTTCTTAGCCTCCAAAGTGAGACCCAGTTCATCCAAATTTTATTATCAACTGATCTGTTAAAGACTCAAAGATCTTCATCTCGCATTATCCTCTACTCAGCATTCAAAAGCCCGAA